AAAAAATATATAAATATAATATTATAAATAAAATTTTAAATAAAAAATTAATTATTTAATAATATATAATATTATAAACTTATAATATCATATAATATTATAATTATAATATTTTTCCAGTAATTACTGCTTTAGCCAATTATGACCCTCGATTGTTCGCTTTGAAGGATAGTTGGCTTTGTTTTGAAGTCTGAACCTTATCCCATGCTTTCTATACTACAAGAGTTCAAGAAATGAAAGTTCACCCTCATGCTTCTGCAGTTCTATAAATATGAACAATGCTCCTAGGCCCTAGGGTGGAATTTTCCCCCACATCTTTCCGGCTCCCACAGGGATCCCGCTATGGACAAGGACAGGAGCACTTTCCCCATTTAAAATTTTTAAGAAATTTTTTCTGCGAGGTAGGTTCCTGTTTCTCTCATAAGATTAAAAGAATTATTAAAACAGATTAAGTATTTTAACTTAAAGTCATAAATTATATTCATTACTTATTTTTAATTTTAGTATAACTAAATTTAACTTAATAGTATCTAGCATTATGTGATTTAGTGGCCATAACTTACATGAAACGTGTTATGACATATAAATTTTGAGTTCTACACTCGAGCACTACTTCTTTTATCCCCATAATTTCCCTTAATTCAAAAAAAAAAAAAAAAAATCTAATCTAGAGAATGAATTGCAAAATTTTTGAAAGTTGAGGGATAAATTTACAAAAAAAAAATTAATTTGGGACAAATTTCGTAAATAAGAAGTGTAATAACTATAGTTCTTAATACAAATTGAGGGACGAGAATTGCAAAAATGAAAATCTGCACATCAAATTTAAAAAAATTTTTAATGAAAAACTCATTTTTGATATCGCTAATGAACTAAGGGCCTGTTTGGTGTGACTTGTGAGAGCTTTAGCTTTTTGAGTACTGTTATGAGTGATAAGTTTAAATTTTTATTGGAGGAAAAATAAAGCTTTAGCTTTTATGAGGTGAAAAAGGGAGTGAAAAGTAAGTAAAAAGGAAGTTTATGAAAAGTTTGGATTTGAAACTTTTGAACTTTTACTGTTTAAGAGCTTTTTGAGATTAAAAAAATTTTTAAAAGTGTAAGATTTTAAGAGGGAAATTTAAATTCATGAGACATGAATAGTGTTCAAAAGTTGAAGCTTCTAGGAGCTGCACCAAACATGCTCTAAATAACTCCATTGTAATATCTTTTTAGTTAAACAAGAGATCATAAATTCGAATTGTATAATATATAAGTGAAATGAATTAAAAGATAAGAAAGTATTGCCTTTTATTGTAGAACTCAAAATCAATATATATATATATATGTATATATAGGAAAAGTGTCAATTCGTCTTTCTTCCTAAAAATTAGAAGGGAAGTTTTTTCAAAATTACGTAATTTTAATAAACTTTTATTAAAATTATTAAAATACCTTATTTTAATAGCATAATTTAAATTGTTTTTGACATTTTCTTGTAATACTTTATTAAAATAATATAATTTTAAAATAAATTTTCTTTTAATATTTAGGGGATAAATTGAGAATATAATTTTAAAATAAATTTTCTTTTAATATTTAGGGGATAAATTGAGTAAGCACTAACCCTATGCACAATTTTGGTATCAAATTGAAGAGTT